CAGTGGCGTACGCAGAATTTTTTCAAGGGGGGGGGGGCATAATTTTCAGAAATTACTAAAAGAAATTCGAGTATGTAATAAAGCACTATTACTTCCCTAATTTAGACAGCTAGACAATTATGACTTTTTATTTTGACAGCATTGTTTAGTTAAATTTTGTTTTTATTTTTTAAGTTTAGGAATATAATTTTTTTTTTAATAAGAGGTAAAATATTTTATTTTCATTAAAAAGTAGGAATAAATCAAGCCAGAAAAAACTACTCATACTGTAACAGCTACCTAAATAATAACCATATAAATGTGAATATTCCATAGAAAACCAATGAATTTAACTAAAAAATGACTTACCAACAAATAGGGAATTAAACCAGTATACAAACACGCTAAAAATTTATTGATTTATACTGTAATATCCAAACGACGGGGTTTTTTTGCAAGTTCGTTTAAAATGTCTTCGACAGCTGGGGTAAATTTTCTATGAATGCTTAAGAGCGCCAATCCATTCATTCTATTATTTCCCGTTGAGTTGCGTAAATAAGTCTTCAAACGGCGCAAAGTCGAAAAGGATCTTTCGTTTGCACTCGTTGAAACAGGTAGAACGACCAATATTTCTAGGAGTTTGAAAATGTTTGGTGTTATATCTTTATTGCACATTCCAAGAGCATCCGCCGCAGTTTTTGGAACACTACCTCCGTCTTCACTAATCCTTTTTAATCTTTTATACCAGAGTTTTAGTTCAGACTTAAGGCTTTCTTTACAGGTATCCAAATCTCCAGCGTAAAATTCCACTAATGCTTCAAAAGCCTTTATGTTTGAAGGTTGGCAAATGAAAGGATCGGCAGGTAGAAGACACTGAAATCCTTTCAAAATATCACGATGCGATACAAATCTTAAGTTTAATTGTGTTATAAAATTTTCTATAAATGGAATAAAAACACTAACTCTGAAATATGTTTCCGGTGTCGATGAGGGAAAATTATCGCGATTTTTCTGTCTTCCTGTTATTCTAGGGATTTGCATGGAAGTGGAAGATCCAATGCTTGTTAGCATAAGAGAAGAAGAGCTGAATATTTCAGAGAATGTTTCAGTGGCATTTTCACGCATTAATTTTAGATCTTTAATGACATCTTCTGCAAGACTCACTGCCTCTATCAAATCTATGCTTGTTTTTTGTAGGTATCTACAGAGATGGATTGTTATGGTGAAAACTTTGTAAATGCACAAAAGAGATATTACGAACTGGCAATTAGATACTGTGCACAGTAAAGAATTAGCCTGGGTAGCTGATTCCTTATCCTTCCATTCTGATATTTTTTGTAGTGTTTCGGCGATAGGCTCGAAAAGTTCCACCACAGCGGTTACTGAGTCGTATCTTTCCATCCAACGGGTTGCACATAGCTGTTTAATTTTCTCCCTCTTAGAGCTGGTTTCCATCTCCTCTATTGCTGAAGATAGGACATACTGTCTTTTTGGCGTATTTAAAAAGTCGTATAATGTTTTAATTGTCCCTAAGCAATTTCTAATGCCAGTTATTTCGCATGCATTTGATACAGCCAAATTGAGGCTATGAGCAGAGCAATGTACATAGAGTGCTGATGGGACAATACTTCTTACGTGGGCTTGTACACCATTAATTTTTCCACTCATTGATGCAGCACCATCGTACCCCTGTCCACGTAACTTTTTTATATCAACTTTCATAGACTGTAATTGGTCTAATATTGTTGTTGCTATTGCTTTTCCGGTTAAGTCATGCACCGGAATGAATTGCAAAAACTGTTCGGTGATGTTAAAATTTTCTTTATCGACATATCGAACGCATAACGATAATTGCTCTATACCTGCAATATCAGTTGTTTCATCTGCAAGAATGGAAAAGCAAGTTGCATCATTAATCTTGCTGACTAGTTTTTGCAGGATTAAAATATTGCAAACCTCAATAACTTCGTTCTGAAATCGAGGGCTGGTATACTGAGCATTTTTTCTGCTTGACTCTAAAATGTTCTTAAGAGTCGAATCGTTCTTACTCCGGAAACGAAGCAATGCCCGAAAATTTCCGTCGTTCTCTTCACCTGGTTGTTCAGCAATTATTCCCGAATCCTTATGTCCTCTTAGAGCGAGACCTTGATTTCCACAAAATAGGATGGTTTCAATGATTGGAGTAATGTTTTTTCTATTTTCTAATTTTCTTCTGCTTGCTGCACTGTCAACTTGTTCATCCACAGGTTTCATCTTTCCAAATAAAATATCGTTTAATGTCCCAGCAGTTTCGATCGATTTTTTGTGATAAAGACATTTCTCGTGTTCAGAAAATCGCTCTACAGCATTTTTCCAGTTGTCAAATTTTACATTGCACAGTTGGCCTAAAGGTTGCTTTCCAGAACCGGCACCACTTGGGGCGAAAAGTACACAAAATTTGCAAAAAGCACCACCCTTAACCTCTGAATATGCAAGCCATTTCCAGCGATAAAGCCATTTGTACTGAAATTTCAATTTTCTTTTTCCTTTTTCAGGAAAAACAAATGCTGGATTGGGTTCCCAAACATTTTTAAGTATATCCAGTTTTTTATCCTCGCATGTATTATCTTCTGAAAAAAGTCCAATGTCATATGGGTGGGAAGTAACACTTTGAGGGCCGCTTTCACATTCATCAGATTCTGTTACGCTAGAAACGTTTTCTTCAACGGAAGTATCACATTTCTGTTCAACAGAAAAACTTACATTGGTACTAGATGCTGTCACCTCACTAATTTCAGGTCGTGATTTTTTCTCAAAGTAATTAAAAATTGTTAAATTCTTGCGTTTAGACATCCTAAAGATCCAAGAACAGCAAAAATATATACATATATATTGGCACAGAAATATCCACTAAGCTACGATCTCAAAGTTTCGAGCTGGAATGAATAACTTCAACGAGCACAGAGTCTCCAAAACAAAACAGATTTAGAAACAAGCTCCGAAGGACAAGCGGCAGAGATAACTCTTAGTCTGACTAAAATCGAAAATAAATGTAACCCCCTTTCATATAATTTTTTTTAACCGCATCTACAAAATTCTCGAATTGTCTCAAAGACGACAGAACGTCTAGGATTCCAGACCTCGCGAATGCCAGCCAGTCTCGAAAACTATCGCGACTGGCAGGTCAGAAAGGAACCAGTGATCGGGGCTCGCCCGTAACAGTATCACGTGAATTTGGTTTCAAAAATACAACCCTATTATAGTAAATGTTTTATCAGTATTCTGAGAAATACCGTGAGAAAAAAAAAGTAGGCATAAGGCAAATAAAAATATATAGTCTTAAAAAATAATAACCCGCATAATTTCTACTAAAATTTTTATTTTTGTCTGTATTATTTTGTAAATTCACTTTGTCTGAGCTCAAGGGGGGGGGTTTAAACCCCTAAACCCCCTCCCTTGCGTGTGCCCCTGCGTGAAGTTAATACAGCTCTCACAATCCGAAAAAGTATGGTGATCTTAATACAGCTCTCCCGGCTTCTGACAAAACAGCAATGAATCTATTAGTGTTATCCCATTCGTCGAATTCTATCGCGGATGAAATTCTGGTGGGTAGTACTGTAGTGTATCTAGCACTATAAAAATATAATTCCAATTCACTAGCATATAAGACATGTTAACTCGATTCTCTGTTGGGGTACCTTTTCATAGATGAAGGTTGACATATGACAACTCTCCCCACGCATTTATATCTGTCAACCGTAACATACATATTGTTCTAATCAAGAAAACTTAATCAAAATCATCATCAACCTTTTTGAATGATCCCATAAAATTGGTTAAATCAATCAGTGATCATGGGACATTTCAGTTGAAATTTGGATTGGTTAAAAGACATTTCAAATTTTTTTTTATTGTTTAAACTTAAAATGGACCTTCCACAAAATATTTATTATTACAAAAGCGAACAATTCAGAAAATATTTTATTGCTAAAACGAACCCTTCACAATACTTTACCTTTGGAAAATAGAGTTAATAACATTTTCATTTCATAATTTGAAAACTAAAACTCCTTGTAAGAAATGTTTTTTTTTAAGAAAAAAACAAATCTTTTTACAAAATTATAAATAGTTGTTTTACGATTTCACAGAAATTGGGCATAATTGCTAAAGAATGAAGCCGTTGGCATATACTTAAAAAATATTAGTTAATTAATATATTTTTAAAAAATTAATTATATTTTAACCTCATATACAAGGTAACAGAGTTCTTCCTAGGAATAAAAAAAGACAGGTAGCTTCCTCACAGAAAAAAGCACTTTGAGTGTTTAAAGGGCCCTCACTTAGCACTATAAAGTTTTAAATTACTCTTCTATACTATTTTGTGTGTATGTTTCAAAGTGTAATTCTCATCAAAATGTGAGAAAAATTTTAAGCAAAAAATAAAGGCAAGCTAAAAGACAATCTCTGTGCATCCATTTTTTTCAGCAAAAAAAAAAAAGAAGTAAAAAAATTGATAATTGGTCAACAAAGCAAAACATTTTTCTGTAATTTAAACTGAAAATTATGAGAAAATGAACATTTTAAAGGTAAATTTTTTTAAAAAAAAGTATTTATTTATAATATAATTTTAAAATCACTTAAAAAATTCATTAATATAGCACCCCACCCCTGAAAAAAGAGAAACCTATAAAAATTGAACCAGTTGAGAATAATCCTAACAAATTAAATATTTGTAATAGAACCAGAATTAAATTTTTTAACGCTTGTAATTTTACCAGTCTATAATTATTAATTAAACAATGAATTAATTTTTTTTAATGGAATATGAATGAAAAAGCATTGTTTTTAAGGGATTGGGTTTGATTTTTTCAAAAACGTGAAAGACGGCACATATTTAGGGATTAAAAGGCAGGTACGGCGAGCCGCCAAGCACATATTGTAATTCTCAAGTATGTATTGAGATATAGAAATGTAAAAATTGGTATAGTTTTGTTGTTTAATGTGCCTTTTGTCATTTTAAAGTTGATAATTCTTTATATTAGATAATAGTGTTACAACATGGAAGAAGGAAAAGATACTGCAAATAAAGAAAGAAAAGATGCTGCAAATAAAGAAGGAAGAGATACTGCTAATAAAGAAAGAGAAAAGAGACGTCATACACTGGATCAAAAGAGCCATACTTTTTTATTTATTAAAAGTATTTTAGATCCAGGTAATTATATATTTTATTAATTTGATGGTACTTTATCTTTCGATAGACTTTTCTTTGCATTCTTGTATATCTCTTCCTTGGAACTAGAAGGACTAATGTTCAGCTTCAATTACATATTACCAAGGAACTCGAAACTAAAGCCATCGTCTCAGTTGGGTAAAAATTCACATTATAACTTACCTACTTTATAGGTGTAATGCCCATTATTCTATTAATGGCCTGTTCACTGATGAAGATAAAATGCCATTTGTCGTGATTAAAGCATTTAAACACATGCATCGTTTTTTTTTTTTTTTTTTAAATCACAATAAACTATTAGAAAAGTACTAATTATTTAATCGAAAAACATCCTACTAGTTATTTTTTTAAGATTTTTGCAGTCATTCCAGTGATAAAGAAATTAAAACTAATTAAAAAAGTGCATTTATTATAGTTATACTTTGATGCAATCCTGTAGCGGAATTAACTGAATCAATCAGCAGCACTATCTTTGTAAGTTTAAATTAGTCGGTAATTTTGTTTTATTATATATTAAATAAAATTTGCATATATTAGGAAGGATTTATAATTTTATTGATATTCCTGCTTCCCTGGTAAAAAAATAATTTGTCCTGATATATCTGATTTTTGTGTGGGTTCCGAACATCTCATTTTCTAAGAATACAAATGTGGATTATTAAAAAATAGATTTAATGAATCAAAATATGTGAATCTTTGATCCAACATCTTTTGAATTTAATTAATATTTCTGGTAGTGATTTCAAAATTCAACAGTTCCAATATAGAGACCATCTACATTTTATATACAGTCAAACCTCATTAACGTCAATTTGAAGGGGGAAGGAAATTTTTTTGATGAAAATTGTACAATACACAGACATTTTATATTATCTATATCTATTATCTATTTGCATTTTCTGATCTATTATGAATAGAATCTTGTAATGTATGTAAATTAATGTATATTTCATTTCGAAAAAAGTTTTCATTTTGTGCTTCATGTTAAGTTAATAAGTTCTGCAGCCAATTACTTTAAAAAATTAAATAAAGTTATAAAAGAAAAAAAATATTAGAGTTCAAACAAAATTCAAAAAGTGTACTTACATTTTGTGCTCTATTTTATTTTAATTCCATAGAAGCAATTAAAAAACCCTAGGTTTGCCCTGGCCTTCTAGAGAGTTTCTTCATGTCATTCTCGTTGTTGCCAGTTCAATATATTGATTGTTTTAAAATCTGCATTAATGAAGACTAGCTATCAAAATTTTGTATATTCTCTAGCTCAGATACTAATTAGTTTATGCTTGAATATTCAACATTTTAAGTGTTTGTCTAGTTGTATTTAAACGGCCACTGTGTCCCACGATTTGCATTCTGTTTAACTTTATTAATTTTATTACATCAATAGCATTATAAACAAATAAAACCTGATTATGTTAAAACACATACAACTCTAAACATGTATATCTTTCAGGTGGAAGACGTGAGCAGAAGAAATCAGTTCCAGCTGCAGATAACACAAAAGTTTCTTCAGAAGACACCCGTGGTAATAGCTATGCAACAGTGGGGAGTTCTAAAGAAGATGTCCCTCATTCTGATAGGCCTAGAAACTGGAGTGACACTGGTAAATCTGGTTTAATTACAATAAAAAATGAAACGAGCTTACAAGAAAGCAACTCATCTATGGAACTAAATAGACGTGTTCTTTATTCTGAGACAAATCATAGTACCACAGATTTGCCTAGAAATTTAAATAGAGCTGATAGGTCTGATGTAATAGCTACAAAAAATGAACCTAATTTATTAGAAAACTGCTCATCTAATGAAATAAAGAGGCATGATGGTTTTCATAAGCAAGTCACTGAGAGAGGTGAACAAACTAAAACTGTTCATGGGAATGAATTCAATAGAAAAAGTTTTAAGGATAAATATTCAATGGAACAAAAAGTAAAAAACGTGTGCCTAGGCCGATCTAAAAGTTTTGTGGATGAAAAAGAAAATAGTCATTATAGAACTCCAGATTTCAACAGATCAAATAGTTCTAACCAAAAAAATCCATCTTACAGTCATTCCTCCTCTGTAAGGTCAACTGAAAATAAATTAGTTAAAAATTATCATTGTAGTGATGCTTCTAAATTGAATGACTTTCATTCTAAACGTATGCACAAAAATAACCCAAAGAGAGATAGTTCTGAACAATTTAAAAATTCACAAGATTGTCAGTCTGTCCAAAAAAACACTGAGAGATTTAAGGAATTTAATGCTAGGAATCGAAATTTCTTTAGATCTAAGAGTGAAGGACCAGATTTTTCGACAAAGGAATCTGCTTTTCAAGAATGTCTAAGTGTAAGTAAAAATTCTGGAAATGTCTCTGCTCCTAGAAAATCTTGTCATCATAATGAAGAACCTGATGAATCCATATTATTTTCATCTGTAAACAGTGAATCAAACTCTGAAATTAATAATGAGTTTAAATTCAAAAATTGTCATTCAAAAAGTGTGAGCTATAATATGTCGAGAAGTAAGGCTGATGAAACATTTGATTATAATTTTAGAATTAAACCTGATGGTCTTAAAACTCCAAAAAGAAATATAAAAAAGGAAAACAATAAAATTGTTGTTTCTGTTTCAACTAACAGTCCTTTCATTAGTGAAGAGGTCAAGGTTAGTGATGAAGGTGATTTTTCTAATTACCTTAAAGAAAAAGATACGTCTACTGCTAATGTGCTTGAAAATTCAGATAAACCCCAGGAAATAGATTTTAATGACTGTCCAGAAGATATATCACAATCAAAAGATGAGTTTTTTCAGCCTGATAATTCTTTTAGCATTCCACCACCACATCCTCGGAATAATGGGGACAATTGTTGTTCTCCAGGGCAAACTAGTGGCTACATTTCAATTGGCGAATTAGTAAGAAATTTTTTGGTTTCATCATTGCTTTTTTATTTCAGCATTGCTTTATTTCATCATTGCTACTAGGTTGCCACAGGTCCTATAAATTTATAATAGTGGTAGTAAATTGACATTGTAGGAGCTTAGATTTTTAAAACTCGTTTAGAGCTCTGAATATGCAAATTTCACCTCCCTATCCTCGGAATTATGGGGACAATTGTTGTTCTCTTGGGAAAACTAGTGGCTACTATTCAATCTAGTGGCTACTATTAGTAAGAATTTTTTTTTGTTTCATCATTGCTGTTAAGAATTATTTTGGCAGAATTTTTTTTATCTGCCTGCGACAAAACTCTCTAGCGCTAATACCTTTCTGAATGATGTTTTTAATAATATTAAACATCTATGTTACTAATTTAAAATCACAAAAGCGCTGTGTTTACAAAAAAAAAGAAATTTTTTTTTTTTAATTGAACATGTAATAATTTATTATTCTAATATTATGGTTGATAATTTCGCAAAAATTATTTCCTTCTTCGCATTTTGTAAATAATCATCACAATATAGAAAATAATTAAAAATCATGAAATCCTTAGTAGTAATAAAGATCGACGACGAAATCACACAAATCAAACTCTTCAAATGCGTGTTTCCTTTCAAGATAAGTTGTTGTAATTAATAATATATAAAAAATATAGGATTTAAAAACTATAAAGAAATCAATAGCAATAAGTGCCAAAAATTCAATAGAATTATAGCCTTAAAAAGTAAATACTCAAATGCACTATGCAAATTTTCCATATCGTTTGAAATACATCGGATATTTAAAATCTATGTGAAAATCAATATCAATAACTGCCGAAAATACAATCAAAACATTACATCAATGTACGATACCACAGCGTAAATTGAGCGTGTCAAAAACTGATTATCTAAATTCATGATTCAAATATTATGTGTAAATTTCTGTCGAAAAGGAAAGTAATTTTTTTTTACTTTTCAAAAGAAAAATCTTTCTGCAAGATCTTTGTAACATTCTGCGACAATGTCGCCGTGTTGTTGCCATTCTGCCATATACTGTCATTTAGGGGTGCACAATCTCTAATTTTCAATTGTCAATATGTGGTCACTGCCTTCTGATCAGATAGTAATTGGGGGAAAAAGCTACATAACTAGCATAAGAAAATTATAAAATAAGAAGTACCAAATTCAAAATAATCAAATCTTGAAATATGGAGGGTAATTCAAGGTGTCAAAAGCATTATACCAGGGGTCCCCAACCTTATGCCCGCGGGCACCATGGCGCCCGTCGGTCGGTCTAGGGGATCTTCATAATGACATTATCCTCAAAACTATTATATCAGATGAGAAATTCTGGAATATAGTTGACAGAAATAAATTCAAATTCCATTCTTAAAAAGAGCAGCATATAAAGTAAAGTCGTTTTTTGGTTCATTATACTTGTGTGAATCATTGCTTTCAAAAATAAATATCATAAAATCGAATCAGAATAGAATAAAATCAATATAGATCCCGACTCTTACAGATAAACACCTTGACGATTGCTTGCAAGCAGGAATTCATTGCTTGCAAGCAGGCATCATACTCACCCAATTATGTAACTCTGGCTAGCAAAATGCAATACCAAAGATCACACTGACTGTATTTTATATATTTTATAAATAATTTTTATACTTCACATGTTTTGAAAGCAATTTAGTAATAATTTATTTTGCCCAAGAATATTATTATTAAATTATATTCCTATGTTAAATTAATTTTAAAAATTAAGTTTTTTGTGCATTATATGTAGTGTGTATTATTACCTATGTCTATCAACTATGAATTTATCTTACAAAAATAAATGGTGCCCGCCATTCGGCCGATATTCTGGTATTTGCTCTTAGGTACAAAAAGGTTGGGGACCCCTGCTTTATACCTTTGACGTGTTGATTTTCTTTTAAATTTAACTAAAAAAATGTTTGAAGCAAATTTTGTTCAAAGATATACTTTAAAATTAAAGATGTTAATAATTTATATAGAGTATTAAAATATTTGGATGCAAAATTTGAAAATGTACTCTAATCATTAAAAAAGAGAAAGTATGTAGTATATCTTGTAAATTTTCATTAAAAAATAAAATAATTTTTTTTAAAGGAAACACTTGAAGGTGAAGTTCATTGTAGCCCTGAAAGAATAAATGAAATCACTTCGTATTTAAAAGAAATTCAAGCGGAACAATCTAAATCATTTGAAATGGCAGGACAAGTGCTTAAGGATATTAATAAAGTTGTAAGATATCATTTTCGAGGTTTGTAAATTATTCATTTTGTGATTACATGTGGTTATTTAAGTTCAGTGCATTCTCATATTCTATTGTTTTTTATTCTTTGGGGAAAATATTACAATAAACTATATAAAATAATTCTTATAACTTTTTAGTATTTACTTGTTATCAACTTGATAACTATTTTTTATTAATAATAACTGCTTAATGCTATTTATTGATTCACACAAATGATTAATATTGTGTTTGAAAAGTATGTAATTTAATTAATATCAGTTAAAAATTTGAAAAAAATTTTTCAGTAAAATCTTGGAAAATTATCTGCATTATTAGTAAAATTTTTTTTGTGAATTAGAATAAATTGTTCTATACAATTAAATATTATATTGAAAATTTATTATGTGCTAGCTAATGCTACAATAAGCTGTTGCATATTATCTTTTATGTTTTAATTTTTTCTTTTATGTTTTCTCATTCAGGGGATAATGTCATTATTTATGGCTCTTATTTAAGCAATCTTGCAACAATATCATCCAACATCAATTTGGCAATCCAAACTAACCAACCTCCTAAAAATACCTACCTTGCGGAACTGAGAAAATTTATGCACCAAAGTAAGTTTTATTTTTGTTCATTATCTTAAGCTGAGCTCTGATTAATGCTTATTCAAATATGATAGATCAAGTAATTGCTTGTGTTCAGTGTATTTGATTAGATAATTAGTTCAAGAACATTAATTGCTGCCTTGTCTTTTTATGACTTGTGATTTATTACATGTGGTAAAATATGGAACATCTAATTTAGAAAGTTTGTGGATACTATTTATTGTGGGCAAAATACCAAAGATGATATTAATTTTGCAGACAAGCAGAGCATGATATTAGATTTTGCAGACAGCAATAGAGAGTATTAGTTTTTGTCAACAACAATAAGTAACTCTAAGTTTTAGTAATCAACTTATAGTCCCAGGGACTCAGCTGTAAGGCATAACCATGGAGGTTTCATAACAGTTGTATGGCACAGTAGAATGTCTGCTTCTTCAGCCCTCCACATCATAGCTTTGTCAGACATCTTTGCCCAGTCAGCAGATCACTAATAATTCCATGTTTAACAGTTTCTCCTGTTACATGAATTAATGATACAAGATAAATCAAGCAAAGTAAGAGAGTCCATCTATTATATATATCCATCTAAGTATATATATCAAAGACTAAATTATATACTATTAATGTCACAAAAATTACATTATAAATAATGAACTTAATTTGATGTAAACTTATGCAAATTAATTAATATTAAAAAATCTGATCTCCAGCCTAAGACTCATCTAATGACATGTGGTAAGGTTGTCACAAAAGGTAAACAAAGACTTGAATTGTCTTGTTGAAAATAAAATCACCTACTGAAAGAAATGCATTACGTGTTTGACGTAGAAAATTGTATCTGTACCAGCGAACTTCAGTTTTTGTTATTACTTTTATTAATGTACAAATTAGAAAATAATAATATGAATCCAAAAGTGTTACTGAAATTAATTTGATCCTGTGCTAGTATTCTTTTTTTCTTTTTTGTCGTATGCCTGTTTAGACAGTGGGGGTGCGATTGTTCCTGTTTTTCTGTGGCGCCATCTATGTTCAGGAATTCAACTTCTGCCACGCCATTCACACAACCACAACCCGTTTATAGGGTGGGTCACATTCAGACAAAGCGGAGGAAGGACATAGAACACACACAGAGAGAAAGAAGCATCCATGCCTTGCCCGGGATTCGAACCCAGGACCTTTCTGATGCAAGGACAGTTCCTTGCCCCCTACACAGGCCGGTCAGCGCTAGTATTCTATCAGAACCATTTACAATGTCTTGATATCGATTATTGTGAACTCGTTTTGCTAGAGAGATAGGGAATGTATTGTATCATTCTGCTCGTTTACAAACATAATTTTATGAATTGTGCTTTTATTTAGAGAGTTGATGTACTTGAATTGAAATTGAAGCTGCCTTAAACTTTCGTGTCAACTTTATTGTGTTAATGTATTAAATGGAAAATGATGGTAGGAATCCAAAAATAATACTGAAATAAAATTACTTGGAGTTGATACTAGTATTCCAAATAATTTAATTGCAGCAATTTAGATGATAGTAAATTTTTTTCATGAGTGATAAAAGTGTTTGTAATCTATTTATAATTAATTATCACAAATAAAAATTTATTTTTTAGACTTTATTTTGGAGATTTAAGATAAAAATAAAGATCATTTTTATCTTTTTTACAAGTTTGTAGTCCTAAAGTTCATATTAATAAAATTAAGCAAAATGTATATCTTTCATTCAGTATATATTTGTTCAAACTACTGGGTAAGTTAAGCAGTAATTAACTACTAAATTCGGTATTAAATTATAATGAATTATTTTTAGAGAATGTACGAGGCCACAAAATTTTGCCGAGTTCGGATACACTGTGAAAATTTAATTGTTTGCCTGGCTGGTTCTGGGTATTCGGTAAAATTTGGATTAATCACCAAGTTGGATATTATAACATTTATGCAAAACAATATGAATGTTGTATAATCCTCTATCGAACAAAAATTTACAAGCTATAATACTGAAGAAATTTTTTGTGAGACTTTATAAATAAAAACATGTTTTTAATTTAAGATTCCTTTAAAACTAAATTCAAGGAAAAAAATGTTTCTAAATAAATTAGGGAAGACTTTTCAGATTTAGAATGATTAATACAAAACTTTGTTCTCTGGAGGAGACATCTGCTAATAGTAGATTTTGTAATTACTTTTTCAAATGATTCACATAAATTTTCAATATAATGAAGCTTCTGTTCAATGCATGATTTTTTATAAAATGATGGTACATTGAATGGTGGTATATTGAAAATGATGAATGTTTTAATTATCAAGGTTTAATTTTTTAATCATCCAGTAAATATAAACATAATTTATATTCAATGAGATCTTATCTACCTTAAACAATCTTTAAAACTTTTCGATACTCATTGAGAAATTTATCTAATAACTAGTTTTGATATGAATACTCATTTAATGATTTTGCTGCCTCTATTCTTTATCCATGTCCTTGTAATTTTGAACCCCTAACATATAAAGTAACTCCTAGATCAAACAACCAACAAGGCACAAATTAGCATTAATGAAAAACTTTTCCTGTGAAGCTAATGAATATTTACATTACATGAGAAAAACCACAAACGCATAACACAATTGGCCCAACGGTACAAGAACTTTATCCTGGCTGGATATCAAGGTTTCCCTGGATTAAATTTCTTCTCAAGAGTAAAATATGTTGTCCCTAAACCAGTTATTTCAGCTTCGTTATATATTAAGAAACTGGTGGCTGGGTACTAAGGTAAAATCTGGCTGGGTACTGTGGAATTGCTGGTTACCCAGTATTATTATTATGAACTAATTATTATTCATTTATTAATCTTTGTAATAATTAGTTTAAACTTATTGATGTGTTGTCAACCTTATTCTTAAAATTTATAATTTTTTTTTTTTTTTTTTTTTAAGAAATGGAAGACACAAGATATGAGGACAGCCAATATTATGTTGATCCTTTTGAACCTGATCCTAATCCTAAAAAATCTAAAATTTATTTTTCGGATTCTGAATTTGGAATACAATGTGAACTAGTATATGAACGGAGTAAAGTTAGAAACTATAGAGAACTGAATTTTGTACTGAGAAATTTGTGTTTGCTTGATAAAAGAGTCAAGACTATCATAATTGCTGCCCGTGTTTTTGCTGAAGTAAGTATATCAAACTTTAGGTTTTTATATTTACACTTTATGCAATTAGTGTTTTTCAATCAGATATATCAAACCTGTGGTATTAGAACCAGAAGAGAAACCTTAAGCTTTCTGACTTGGCATTTTAAACTGCCTTAAATATTAATTAAAATATAAAAGAAAAGAAGCTAACTGATAAATTTTTTTTAGCCATTCTCTATCGCAGTAAGTTAGTGGACTGATTCAGCCTTTCCCTGAGTATTGTAATTGTTATTATTTCTAAATTGAAGTTTGTTTTATAGCAATGGGTTGCTGTGAAAGGCATTTTCTTACAAATTCACTTAAATTGGGGGAAAAAATCGATGTTTCTCTAAATGTTTATCTACTTCATATTATTATCTATCTTTTCTGGTGTAAAACTCAAAATTGGCGGTGCATACCTATTCTTAATTAAAGAAGCAATTACCATATAATTTATTGTGATTCATAATTCTTAAAAAAATTCACATTGCCGTAACGTCTAATTATATTGGAAAATGGTAATATAGTGATGAGCTACACTTTTTCAAATGGACCATTTTTACTTCAAACTGTTTCTTAATATTGTCTTTAGATAAGTACTTTACAATTTTTCTATAATTTGCTCTAGACAACAGCAAAATACACCAAAATCTCTTATTGTTATTATGGAAATTGTAGTGTTTTTCATATAACTTACACTAATTATCAATTTAAATGTGCGGCTTTTCATTGTATTTCTCAGGCTCTTCAATTACTTATTAATAATATATTAAGGTTTCTTATGTTTTAATAATATCTACAAAAAGTGTATGAAAAAATTAAAATATATGGGTTAACTAAAATACAATATAAAGTTTAAGCTACTTCAAACATTTCAAGATGAGCAAGGAATTATCCATCAATTTATTTTTATAATTATCTATCATGTTATATTATATTGAATTGATTAAAGTAGCACACTGTTTGTTATGAATCTATTATTATTCGATTATTTAATTATATGGTATTATGTATTATAAACTATTAAAAAATGAACAAGGAATATATTTTATCCTTATGAGTTATTTACTAATTTCCTCTTCAGCATATGCTTTTTATTTATTTATTTTTCCTTGATTTATTTATTGACTACCGTTAATAACATTGACACATAAGAAAAGATGGCTTCTAGCACAGGTGGCGAGCTAGGGCAGCTGTCTAGGACATCTAAAATTTTGGGTTGCTAGAACTCAGTTTAATTAATGATTTCCTTCAAGTTGATTAAATATTACAATAGAACATTCTTCTTCATTGTATCTTATTTTTACGTTTGTAATATTTTGCACTTGTAACTATATTTGTATCTATTAATTTGTATATTTTTTCTCTCAAAATTTCAACCTGTCTTGTAGAAAGACATGTTTTTAGTTTTATAGATCTCCTCTGTTCATAGTATACAAATTAGAAATTAAAAATAAAAAGCATACCTGAACTTAAATTATATTTTAGAGCAGTACATGCCCCTATGGGATATAAGTGAGGGATCATATGCTGGCATAGAACAAAATTGAACCAATAATTTAATGTAATAGAGCAACTTATTTTAAAAATAACTTCAATGCATGATTTCAGAGCTGGGATAGCCTGGTTGGTAGGGCACTCGGCCCATGTACAAGAGGTCGTGGGTTCGATGCCCACCGAATGAAGACTCTCCTTGTAGTAAATGGTGACTGATTCATATTAAATCTGTCGAACCACAAAGTCCTCCATGTTCTCCTTACAAATCATTCCTCTGGGCGTATTGATCCAGGTGTTCCCTTGTCTTCTGGATTGGTTCAAAATTACAAGGCTGCATAGTTGAACTTCAGTAGACGCAAAATTGGGTCGATTATTTAATGGCGGTTATAAAATAAAATTTTGAAAAATGCATGATTTCATACTTTTAAAAAAAGTGATTAAATTAATTTAATAATTACTTCAATTATTGATAAGGTAAGATAAAATTTTAAAATGATTTTGATCATGCTTATAGAAAGGTTAAATTTTTAATATGTATTGCATCCAGCTTGCACCGACCACTATGCTGATGTAAAATATCCTCAGTGGTTGACAGATCACGGGTTTGAGTCCCTTTGTCGTCAGGCTAACTGTGGGGTTTTTTGTGGTTTCCCTCTCCACGTAACTCAAATGTGGGTTAGTTCAATCAAAAAATCCTCCACAAAGGCAAATTTTTCCCAATACTTATACCAGGAGTTCCCTTGTCTTCTGGATTGGGTTCAAAATTACAAGAGTACGAAGTTGAATATTAGTAGTCATAAACCCAAAATTGGGTCAGCTGTTCCATGACAGTTATAAAATAAAATAGTTTAAGTAAGTATAAATAGTGGTTTAAAAAAATCTTTAGATTAAGATTTATATACATATTTTTTACTTCACACTAAATGTAAGTGCTTATATTATTTCCAATTTTGAATTTCTCTTTTTGACTTACAGGATTATGCATGATGTATCAAAACTTATTTCTAGTACAATTGCTGTTATTTTATTTCTGCAATATTGGCAGGTATGAGATAATGTGTCCAGGTGTACCCAGTTTGAAGTACTATAAAAATCATTGTGTCGAACCAAAAGCAGACAAATTATAAAAAAGTTGTGTTGAAAATTCAAAAGTTGGGCAGCATATTGTTTATTTAGATATTGTGAACAGCATACCCTTTAACAATTACAGAATTTCCGTAGTTTCCGAACACGTGCTTCTTAGGGGCAGCTAAAATGTTGTATTAGTGTTTTTATAAATTAGATTTTATAGAATTTTAGTTACCAATACATATAAATTATTTATTTGAACAGTTATATAAAAGGACAGACATATGAATGCTTATGTTTGGAAGCTCTGATAAACATTTAAAAAAATTCTATTTGTTTAAAATTATTTACTCTTTAGTTTATTACCACTAGATATAAATATTTTGGCCAAATCTCAAATGGAGGGTATGAAACTGTTTATTAAATTCTATGTGCATGTTTTAAATAATTGTTTTCTCATTGTTTTGAAAAGTAATTACAAATTTATTTTCATAGGAGAGTGCTTTGCATGATGCAAAATATGGAAGATTACATGTTGTGTGCTTTGCTCTTATGGTAGTATATTTTCTGCAACAGCTAGAACCTCCAGTGCTACCTATTGTTGATATAACCTGTAAAAATATGGTAATTGTTTTCTCCTATACAATAATTTTTGTTATTCTAAGAAAATCCATTTTACATAAATTTTATTTTAAATTTTTAACAACATTTCATAGTGACATCAGTAGATGCTCCAAGTGGAGATGTATAAATTGGTAAATATGAAAATGGGATTTGCCTGGTTACTTTACAATAAAATATTTATCAAACTTTTATAATGCACATGAATGAATTGATTTATTTCAGTATATAAAGTAAATATGTTTTTAGAATATTTATAAAAACTTCTTAAATCACCATACATCAAAAAGTAGAGTTACACAAACAGGAAGAAATCTTCCTTTGATTCAGTTATTTGGTGGCGTTATTTGGAGCAGTACCATATCTTATTAGAAGCTAAGAATAAGCTAAAGTGGTGGGGAGTCAGCTTATAATCTAATCTGTTACCTTCAAAAATTTCCATGTAAAAAATCGTTGACAACCGTTGATGAATCATTAGCTAAATACTGAAAAACAGCACATACTAAAAAATACAGCACTAAAGAAATGGTAATTGTTTTCTCCTATACGATAATTTTTGTTATTCTGAGAAAATCCATTTTACATGAATTTTATTTTAAATTTTTAACAACATTTCATAGTGACATCAGTAGATGCTCCAATTGGTAAATATGAAAAGGTTACTTTACAATAAAACATTTATCAAACTTTATTAATACACATGAATGAATTTATTTATTTCAGCATATAAAGTAAATATGTTTTTAGAATATGTATAAAAACTTCTTAAATCACCATACATCGAAAAGTAGAGTTGCACAAACAGGAAGAAGTCTTCCTTTGATTCAGTTATTTGGAGAAGTACCATATCTTATTGAAAGCTAAAGTGGTGGGGAGTCTGCTTATAATCTTATCTGTTACATTCAAAATTTCCATGTGAAAAATCGTTGACAACCGATGATGAATCATTAGCTAAATACTGAAAAACAGCACATACAAAACTTAAAAATTGCTAAAATAACAGTTGAAAATAAAAGGAAATATTGCACAGCCATTCTTTTTTTACCTCTCATTTTTCAACTTAAAAGCAGCAAAAAAAAAAAAAAAAAACAGTAAAAGGCAGATGTGCTAGCTTCAGATTTCAGACAGCTTTTGCTGTTAACATCTGTTTTGTCTAGGCTTTTTGCCAAGTTGGATTGCTGATAGCGTCAATCCAGATGGGTAAATTGAAAAGCTGTTAACGAAGATGGGGGAAAACAAAAGTTGGAAGTAAAATCTAATCGGTGGAATTTTAAATAGATTTTTATTTCAGAAGAAAGGTAAACAGATAAACTAAATGGGCTGTTCTATCCAAAAATGAAGTTGAAAATTATTCACAAAGATAGTGTCTTATTTTATTTTACATCATATTATATAGGAGTTTTGAATTTTCGGAAAATTTTCCAAGAAAAGATGACTCTTAGTTTATACACGAATGGGCTTATATTCTTAAATATGCTATATTCAATGAAAAATGTAATTTAATGTCTTTCTCCCTATGATCAATAGCAACTGTTTCATAGATACTTTTTAATTAAACTTTGATCGAACATGTCAGGAAGGTCTTCTGGCTCCCATAGATCTGATTTTTTTTAAAAGGTGAATATAAAATTACTAATATGTTATCCTGTACATGAGTCGGTCGACTTGTGCATAGCAGCATTTTATGTTGCACAATTATTAAACAAATAATTTTATTGAATTTCAGATTTTCTTTCTCAAAAAGATTATCTGCTTTAAAATAACAAATGCTTTCTACTCAACTGAAAATTTATGAAAACCTAAAAATTAATATTTCTCAACAAGTTTCCTTGGTTATTCTTAAAAACAAATTGAATGCTTTATGAAGAAAATATTTTACGATATTTATTAGAAATACAGAAAAAGCGACTGGGCAGTATTTTATTGTATTCTCAACCCCTAATGTAAAAAGGTCCTTTCTTTGGCACATGGTGTCTTAGGAAATTTTTATAAGTGTTCTATGTGTTCAATACCAGTTTTCTTCCTACATCTCAATATACATTATTGACTCTTTAAGGATAAAAGTATAAGGATTTCAAAAATTATTGATATCTTCTCTATGCTCTAAATTTTGTTTTATCTATTTATTTTTTTAAGTATGATGTTTTATCCTCCATGATTTAGGATGGGTTTAATTCGCTGAACTCTGTATTGCACTTCCTTTGTGTCCTATTGTCTCACTTTGTAATTTTTAATATATCTATTTTATAATGAAAGTCTTTTCAAACTTCCAGGAAATAAAACATAAGAATTCAGCTAGCCTTGGTGAACTTTGGTTAGAATTTCTCAAATTTTACAGTCAAACATTTGACTGGGAAAAAGATGTTATATGCATCACATCAGCATCAAAAGTTACCAAAAAAGAAAAAAACTGGAGGAATCATCTTATTGCTATCGAAGGTTTGTATTTTTGAAGTTTTCTTAAAGACTCTACTTTACATCCAAATATGTATGTGTATATATACATACATATGTATACATACATATGTATAAGTATGTAT